TAATGAAATACGAAGACAATACTGGGTGATAGATGGAAGGAGCGTGGTGAAATCGATTTTCGCAAAATGTCGGAAATGCAGGCTAAACAAGTCGAAACCAATTATACCAGTAATGGGACAACTACCTGTAGAAAGGTTGAAACCTTCAGTGAGACCCTTCACATATACAGGGGTCGACTATTTCGGACCATTGCTGGTAAACATTGGAAGAAGACGTGAGAAAAGATGGGGCGTCATTTTCACATGTCTGAAAATACGAGCTGTTCATCTGGAAGTTGCACACTCGTTAACTACCGATTCGGCTATTATGGCGGTGAAAAGGATGGCATCCAGAAGAGGCCAACCGAAGGAAATCATTTCGGATAATGGTACTAATTTTCGAGGTGCAGCTGAAGAGTTAAAGAGAACATTGGAGAGACTGGATCATGAGAAAATTGCTGACACTCTCACAGAAAATGGTATCCATTGGAAGTTTATACCACCAGCATCACCTCATATGGGGGGTGCCTGGGAGAGAATGGTACGTTCAGTGAAGACAACATTCAATGTTATACTGAATGGACAGGTCCTGAAAGATGAACTCCTCCAAACCATATTCGCAGAGTGCGAGAACATCATTAATTCGAGACCCCTGACAAAGATATCTGTGGATCCAAACGACTTTGATTCCCTGACACCAAATCATTTTCTACTGGGAACCTCCAATAGAACGATGGAGTTTCCGAACAATGTGGACTACAGAAGAGAATGGATGAAGTCACAAAAAGTAGTCGAAAGCTTTTGGAAAAGGTGGACCAAAACGTATCTCCCAACATTGACAAGACGAACGAAATGGACTGACGATGGAAAACCACTGAAAGTTGATGATATTGTCATCATAGTTGAAGACAATGCACCAAGGAAATCCTGGAAATTAGGAAAAGTACAAGAGATTTACCCAGGACTCGATGGAAGAGTGCGCATCGCAGATGTGAAAACTTCTACTGGAATCTACAAAAGGCCAGTGGCTAAGCTTTGTAGAATCGATGTAGAAGACCCCCGAGGAGATCAAGAGAGTGAGACGAGTTAAACTCCCTCACGGGGGGGAGAATGTTACTTCGTTATATTTTAGTTGAACGCTTTGTATATAGTTTGGATATGTCATTTGAGGTTTGATAGAAAAAAAAGATAGTAGTGAAAAATAATAATTTTGAAAGACGTCAGAGTTCTAATTGTACGGGACGAAATAAAAGGTATAATTAAGACAAGACAATTTTTGATTATTCGACGAAAGAGATTTAACACCCTGATATCGAAAGTTCTACCAATTTCAGTTATACAGGGTGTCCTAGAATTTTCTACAATACAATTTCAGATTTTGCAATCCAGTTAGAGAAGTTTTTTTGAAATGAAAACATTTTTTCTTTGTTTTTCCTAGTTTTAATTATAATGGTGTTCAAAAAATTCATCTAATTTTGCAACTGAATTTCTTTTGGCATGGAAGCTTTCGGTCATTCTATTTTCCAATAAAATGTTTGAGAAATGTCAAATAAGTGTAATTGAAAAATAACGGTTTTATTACAAGTAATTTATTTTTGGCATTTATTTCGAGATCCATACAGTTTTCGAAACATTTACATAGGGGCAAAAAGTTTCCAAATTGAAAGGACAATCTGAATCTTTGTCCCATTGAAAGCAGAGACGGCACGCAAAAAAGTTCTACAGGGTTAAATTGGGTAGGACCCCTGAAAGTCTACCACCCTGTAGGTATTCAAAAACGCTCAATAGCCTCAAATATTGAGTTTTTGAAGTGTATTAGGTGTACTGAATTCCAATCAATTATTCCGAGAATTGTAGGAGAAAATTCAAAAAACATAAAAAAAATCTGAAACTTTGACACCCTGTGAATCCAGGCATATATGTTTGTATGAGATTTTCATCTTGAAAAAATGTCTTCTTCAAGCTGTTGAAGTCCTGCTACAAAAAACTGAAAGACCCTGTATATGTGATATATATCCGGGAAAAAAATTCTCACTTTTTCCAGTGGGAAAAAAGTAATTTATGAAAAGTTACATTTTATAACCTGCTAACAGATGGAATTTCAAACCTCTTTCTCGTCACAGAAAAAAGTATATTTTTTCCAATGAAAATGACAGAAATTCGATTTTTGGATTGAAAATTGGGTAAAATGAACAGGTAATATAATATCTCACATAATAAATCCTATTTATTCTAATACTGCCAGGCATCCTTATTGAAAAAAAACACCTGTAGCATGTAATATGCAAATCATTACTACATTGCCTGCTTTACAGATTTACTGGATCTCCTGTCTTGTTGGCATAGGCCATCTTGCTGGCTTCACACTGGTATATGAAGGGGTCAAGACGAGGGTCAGGTTAAAATTAATTAGAATTCTTATTCATAATAGTCATGAAGAAACTGATTACTTAGATAACACAGCTCTCAGGGGTATATCTACACCAATAAATAATGATAGAGATAATGATTATATTTTCCCTCATATGGGAGGTTATATTTTCATTTCATTTGGGAAGTAGATAAAAATTATATCAAAGACTGGAACCTTTGTCAGGATAATACACTACATACTGTTTCACCACTAACCAAACCGATTTTTTTACGCCTAGTCACATGTTTTGCTATAATGTTAGCATCTTCAGGATTAAAACTAAATGTTCTATCCTAGTGTGCTACTCACATACTAGGTATATGTCCACCCAACCATGAAAGACACTAACTGCCAAGTAAATGTTTGTCATGGTTAAGTTGACATGTTAACCTTGGTCTTATATCACTAAACTATACAGAGGGCAAAATGGGATAGGTCCATTATCCTTATTCATTGCTCTATTACTGTTCTTATGCATCTAATTTCCTAACAATATCAACTTTCTCAACTTATTTGATTCTATTAATGTGTGTTTGGCTACACACGATTTATCTAACCTACCATATTTCAAATGTGCTAAGTGTTCTTTGAACCTTGTTTTTATGGGACGCCTGGTTTGGCCTTTGCATGTTTTATCACAACCATTACAACTAATTTCGTATATTTATGACTTTTCAAGTGTGTCCAAAGGTTATAAGGTTGTTATTTTGGATAAATTAAAGAGGAAATTCATCACCAAAAATGGTCAGTCATGTCAAATCAACTTTGAATAATCGCCCAAACCTAATTACATCACATAAGAAATATAAATTACAAATATCTAACCCAAGTGTACCAAGATTATATTGTTTAACAAAAATATACAAACCCAGTAAGAACATTAGACCAATTGTATCCACATTTGGGTCCCCCACTTACAATATTTCAAAGTGGTTGGTTGAAGTTTTCAGAACTTTAAATAATCCTTACAACAATCATTCTGTATCAAATTCACTCGAATTCATCAAAAAGTCAAAGGGTTGAATCTGAGGAAAGGCAAAATCCTAATATAATTTGATGTTTCATCACTTTTTCCAAATGTAACCATACCAACAACTTTGGAATATTTAAGGGAATTACTGGAATATAACAAACTTGATCTGGATAATATCAAAGAATTGGCCAATCTCACAAACATCTGCATGATCCAAAATATTTTTCAATACAGACAAGATTATTTTTTCAGCAACACACTTAGATACATAACTAATGACTCCAATCACTGTTTTCAACACAAAATGGCAACTTCAAATTTCCTAGTACATAGACTAGTTCTATTATCTTGAAGTTCACACTACGTAATTCTATGCATTTTCAAGCTAAAAACAAGATAAAAACAATTCAATCCCAAGAACATGAGAGGACTTGATAAGGTTCTCAGAGACTATGGATTTGAAATTAGTTGTGGTGATTGTGATAAAACATACGTAAGACCAAAGTTAACTTGTGAACTCAACCATGACCAATATTAACTTGGTGGTTAGTGTCTTCCATGGTTATGTCTACATAACAGGTGGCTACGGAAGTATTGCCTATGGAATATCTCAGATATTGTATGAAGTAGGTTTGTGAAATTTGGAGAGTCGATATGACATAAGAGCTAGAATTTGAGCATATTGACATGTTGAAGTTAACTTCCGGTCTGACCGGAAGTAACATCAACTTTCTTATTTGAAATGGAAATCCTATTTTTTCTTCTTTTTGCATTATTCAGCATTCAATTACCTTTCTAATGACATATCACAAGTTGGTATCTAACCAGAAACTAGATCAGAAAAAATTTATTATTGAAATAATCTGTTTTGTTATTTGAAGAATAATAATTGGATTTTTTGGTATTTCATTTCAAAAAATGACTTTCTATTATATCATTAGAAAGGAATGGTTATGCTGAATAGTACAGGCAAGAAAAAGTTGTATGTTCCTATTTAAGTTATGGACCTACAGAGTATTGTTTTTTTTTCCCAATTTTTCCAATATTTTTTTTGGCGGCTTTTTATAATGCCCACGAATGAAAATAAAATATCACAGTACATAGTAGCAACTGTTATCAAGTGACGTATGGTTTCCATAGCCAACTTTTCAATTTTTGGCTTTCATTTTGCTTCCATGGCCTACTCGGTGAATTTCAATAATAATTTTTTTTCTGATCTAGTTTCTGGTTAGATACCAACTTGTGATATGTCATTAGAAAGGGAATTGAATGCTGAATAAAGCAAAAAGAAAAAAAATAGGGTTTAAATTTAAAATAAGAAAGTTGATGTTACTTCCGGTCAGACCGGAAGTTAACTTCAACATGTCAATATGCTCAAATTCTAGCTCTTATGTCATTATATTGATGCTCCAAATTTCACAAACCTACTTTATACAATAACTGAGATATTCCGTAGGCAATACTTCCATAGCCACCAGGTATACCACACACTAAGATAGACCATTTTGGTTTAATCTTCAGAAGATGCTAACATGGTTAGCAAAATACATGTGGAGGCTTTAAAAAATCAGTTTGGTTAGTGGTAAAACAGTGTGTAGTAGATAAAAATTATTTTGTTGCACTTACTCCTCATACCTTTTAGCACATTCCATGATATTATGATACAGCAAACATATGAGAGTTTCTCCATTCATTTTCACCCCAAACAGCTTCTCTTTAGAATATACACTGAGTACTGAGGCATATATAATTACCAAGTTATCAATATTCCTCAACACATCTAATTTCTGGTTATTGAAAGTGAAATAATCATTTTCATTATAATCTTTCACAAGATCCAAAGGAGGGCAATCCTTGAATTTCTGAAAGTAAAAATTTTGTTTAGCTACTTATTACTTTGGATTATGCAATTATTAACACTCACCAATTTTTTACGAAACTTGTTTGGAACAATATTAAAGGAATGTGTGATAATTAATCCAGCCTTTGTTTTTATATCAAATCCAATTTTATTATGAATCACAGCAGAATGAGCCAAGTTTATGAGTCTGGCACTATATGTTTCTGCCACAACTTTCAGGTAGGGAATGTTCTTTACATAAACTGTTAAAATCTGTTTCAAAACAACATTAAGTAGAGCAAACAATTCTTCTGATGGCAAAGATAGTTTTTCAAAATCATACCTGAAAAAAAAAAGTAGTCATTCAATGAAAATGAATTACTCAAGACATACCCTGCTTGATGAATGAATCCTTCAAAGAGAATAAAGTATAATGGAAACAAAGACTCAATGGTGACTTCATATTCAAAGCAAGTTGAGTTCTGCATATGATACACAAAATTGAGGAGATCTGTGCATTGTCTGATATTACAAATTTGGTTACTATTGATATCCTCTAAAATTTCTTCTGTTGTTGATTTAATAATTGATGTTGATAATTCCATCTTCCCAATAATGTCTTGGATATACTTTTTCAAGTTCTTTTTGCTACTGAACCTACTGAAAAAATTCAATAGCAAGTTTTTTGCCTCCACAATCTCTGCTTTTTTATGAATATTTGATTTATATATATCCACCTGCAAAAAATGTTCATTTTTGAATGAAGAAAATCATCCTACGAAATACTCACAATATTCTTTATATGCTTTCTCGTCTCGTTTTCCCTGGAAGAGTCATTCAGTATCAGGAAAATTGGTTTCAACAGTGCCTCTTCACAGGTTAAAGGAGTTTTCTGGAAACTCCACATTATATCTTTCTGTGTGCCCATCTTCTCTCGAATACTATCAAACTTATCTTATAATTCATCAGAGGAAAAATTGAGTTTAATAAGCTAAATAAAAATATCACCACGAGTTTCTCGCAATCGCATGTTCGGCATGTATGTTTTCAAGTTTCCTGTGGCACAGACGTTTTGGTTTTTGGTTATTCGTTCTGGGGTGTTCTGGGATTTGAACTTCTGACTTCTGGACAGTTCTGACTTCTGAAAGCAATGACTGAAAGTATCAAAAGAAGAACCTGCTGTCAAAGAATCTGTGCAGTGTGCTGATCTGAAGTTTCGTTTGCAACAGTTTTCCAGTCAGTTCATTCGTTGTTTCGTCCGTCAACCAACAGATGACAGATTTTGACATTGCCGTATCACGCACGCTGCAGCTTGCGCCGCAGCCGCATGCGTGTATCACCGTTGTGATTGTTCTAAAGGCCTGCCTATGCCTCATTTCGGGGCGTTTTGAATTCGTGTTCATGGCAGCCATGTCACAGTCACGTCACACAGTCACGACAACCTGACAACAGTGGAACAGTGACGACAACCATGGAACCCATGGAACCATGACCATACCTCCTAGACCATACCAACTTTACCGTTAAGTTATCCATTATCCCACGTACGAAAATATAAAATTTGTTTTTAGAGTTTATTTACTTTGTTTTAAATCTTACCCATTACCCATTATCTTACCTATAAGAAAAATTTAAAGGAATTTCATTTAATTGTCTACTATTCAATTTGTGGTAATGACTGTCGGGGAGGAATTGGGAGGTATAAATTTGTTTGATCACTGCTAATAAGGTAGGAATAAAAAGTGATCAGAAAAATGTTTTTAGTTTCCCAGACCAGGGAAGATATTCCCTTGAAAAATGGGAGGAAAGCAACACGTCCTTACTTCTGCAATGAAGAGTGCTTCAGTGGCTCAAAGTACATGAATATTGCCTTTGGAACTCTAACATTCATCATTACACTGGCGCTTTTGATACAAATTTATTATGGGGATTATCAGGTAAATAGGAATATGAAAATAGTATAGTTACCACCTACAGGTTGAGTTATGAGACACTGCATAATACTCCTAGAGGCTCTATATTCTATAAAATGAGCTTAACAATATTTGTTGACCCAGTTGTTGACAGTGGATGCTGAGTTTCAACACTCTGAACTCTCATTGGGTCACTCATAAATTCTCCCATAGTTTTGAACAAATTCTTGAGTCTAGAAATGTTGTCATATTTTCTCAAATTCAACAATGTTCCTTGACATTATGATTTTTTCTACAAGGCCATGACCACCACTGCTAGTGCATCATATATAGTTCATACATTACAATATGTAGAACATTACCTCCATAAAGTCCCTATTTAAACACTACATTCCACATTCAACAACAATAGAACAGTATCATGCATCATTATGTTGAACCTTGGTGTGGCAGCTAACTGATAATTCATTAATTTGCACCACATTTCTTTAAAAGGGTGGAAACACACCACTGACTGATAGGGTATGTTCAGGAATTTCATCTGCCAGCTCTGGCAGAAAGATCAAATAGTTCCACCACCAGTATCATGCTGCTTTGGAACTGTCTTTCAAATAGTAAAAAAAAATTCACATAGGATACTCCTTCAAAACATCCTGAAAAAAATTCCACTGAAGAGCACTCTGGTAGTTTGGTGCCTGTCTATGTCTATATTTTGCTGTTCTTTGTTGTTAGTCAATTGTATGCTTTTACCTTGCCTTACTTCTGGTTTAACAAGAAATGAGCTCTACTCTGTACCAATCCAAAAACACCTCAGTTGTCAATATTTTACAAATGATGTAATTTTTATTTAACACTTCAACAACTATGTCAGTCATTGAAGATTGACATGCAAATAGTTCTGGAGGACCAAAGTCATTATTAGTGTCCAACCAGCACAGGCCACATTACAAGTAGTAGGATCTAGTAATTGGAGTTCAACATTATGATGTTAATGTGTCAAATTTAAATTTTTCAATCTAGAATGCCATAGGTCTTGTGAATGACTTTACTCTTGATCAAATAACATGAAAAAAATATAACATTGATGCTCACATTGAGGCTCATGACTTCACAGTTGTTTTAATAATCATTTGAAAGTCACAAATATGATTTTTTACAGTTAACTTGAATTTTTGAAATGGAAAGGGCATGGCTGGTCTGCTTTTTGTGAAAGATCATTTTTTAGGAATAATTCGATACCACACATTTCCACTATATTTTCACTAATTTTCTGAATAATATATAATAATAATATGTATTCCCTATTCACACTATTCATAAGCAGAATAACATGACTCAGTGCATAAGTATACTGAAAACCATGAATACATATTATTTGTTAGTAGGTATGATAGCTTTTTCCAATTATTATTGAAAAAAAAAAGTTGAATGGTGGTGTGGTATCAAATCATCTGTAAGGAAATTATCTTTCACAAAAAGCCCATTAACCACCTCCTTTCCATTTCAAAAAATCAAGTCAACTGGAAAAAATCATATTTGCAGCTTTCAAATGAATAATAAAACTACTGTGAAGTCATAAGCCTCAATGCGAGCCTCAATGTCATATTCTTTTCATGTTATTTGATCAAGAGTGAAGTGATTTACATGACATTCTAGGTCAAAAAATGAAAATTGAAATAAAAATGACTTCATTTGTCTAATATACTATATACATATACTGCTCGAAAGACTTGACAATATGGGTATTAGAGAAATTGCAAATCAATTAATAAAATCCTTTTTGAGTTGAAGAAACCAAAAAGTAAGAATTGGAAATTATTTGAGTCAGTCCCTTTCAACGGAGTATGGTGTGCCACAGGGTAAAGTGCCTGGTATCTTCCTGTTTAGTCTCTTTAGTATTTTATCTATAGGTACTGGATGATGAGTATAGTGTCTTCTGTTTTGCAGATGATACTGTGGTTGTTTCTGTTAGTCAATCACGGATATTAGCTGTCATGAAGGCAGAAATCTTCATTTCAAAAATAAAACATATCCTAGCAACCTATTGTTTCACAAAAGCAAATTACTTAATTTTCACCAATTATGTGTCGAAAATATTATTATATTCATACTAACCAATCAAGACTACAAAATCAATATAGTATATACATTGTGTACTAGAAGTTCAATAAATAATAGGCTTAAATTCTGTGAGAAATGTATCAGCCATGAGACATATTGGTTTTATTGGCACCAGGGTATGTAATGCACGAGGTAATGCACTACCCAACACACTAAGAAGGCAACCATATAAAATGGTTAAAAGCAAATTAATGACTGGATAATTGAGAGTCAATATACCGATTGTAAACTATAACTAAAATTAGTAGACTATTTTTTATACATTGTTGGCAAGTATTATTGAGTATTATTAATATTACATTATGGTGTAAACTCACCGAGACATAGGTTCGAATCCTAGTTAGGCCATGGATGTTTGTGTTTGTATGTATACCTTACCCTGCACAAGTTTCGACTTATGGGGCGTTTGGTCCCAGTGCTGGGACCAACGAGGTATGCAATTGAAAAAAAAAAAACTGAAAGTATCTAAGTATCAATAGTTTCATTAAATATGGTTGATTAATAATCAGCACAAACAGATTTCAGAATCCATTGTGCTGATAAAAATTAGTATAGTTAGGTAATAACACAAACTATTATAATGAAGGTGAGAACTGATAACTATGTACCTAAGATACTGAATAAATAAATAATAATTATAAGGCAGTGGAAAAAAATGAAATTGACAAGGTATTGTTGGATTCAGATTGTCATTCTCGATTGTAATAAGTAAAAATATAATTTAAAAATCGAGTTGGGCTCATTTCTGGTTGAACCGGAAGTGACGCAAGGCAAGTGAATATGTCAAAAAATGTAAATTGAACTTTAATACACAACCCCCCAAATTTCCTTTTTCCATCTTCAATAATGAAAAAGTTATGAGGGTGAGCCACCTTGAAAAATCACCCGGTACAGTAAGGTTGATAAATCATAACACAAGGTTTCAGGAGAAATTGGTTGCCCTGGTTGCAATACACTTTCAGTACCTACTGGAACATTATTTCCCAATCTCAATATTCTCATACACGTGTCACTTTATTGACAACTTGAACACCATATAAGTGAAGTACGATTTTCTGAATGTTGAATTATCGTTGTTCTAAGTGAATAAACACCGGTGTTTTACTAGGACACTTTCTAATGACCGACCTGAACTCAATCGTCTTAACACACACACTTGAAAAATTATAACACTACATAACCAGAAAAAAAGTTTACCAATATTACAGTTTTTCACACTATGGACTATAGATAACTATAGACCTGTATCAATTTTGCCTGTGTTCTCTAAGATAATGGAGAAGGTAATTAATAATCGCCTCTTGAATTTTATAAACAAAAAAAGTTCTTTTATGAGCATCAATATGGCTTCCGCAAGACGAGTGATACAGGGTCGGCAGCAATAGATTCAGTACAACAAAACACCAATAATCATGATAAAACTGGCCTGGTGTCTCTCGACCTGAGGAAGGCGTTTGACACAGTTGATCACCATATTCTATTGTCCAAATTAAAATGGTTAGGTATCAGACGAGTAGTTTTGAAGTTGTTCAAAGAGTACCTCTCAGACAGACTACAACATGTAGCAATTGATGGTGTAGCTATTACTAATCAAACAATAACATGTGGTGTCCTTCAGGGCACAATATTAGGACCAACATTATTCCTGATTTATGTCAATTCAATGTCAAACCTGCGCCTCCGAGGGAAAATAAAATTGTATGCTGATGATACTATACTACTTTATTCAGGTAGATCTATAGAACAAATAAGAGAGGACATGATGCTTGATCTCCTACTTGTTGAAAAATGGCTTGCAAGTCACAAATTGACTTCAAATACCGAGAAGTGACGTTTCATGTTACCAAATCAAATATGCCTGTGAAATAAAATATCTAGGTCTATACATTGACTC